ACATAGATCCAAGGTTTATAGGGTTGCATGTACACCATAGGAGTGTTAGAATGCTCAAAACCCATCATACATAACCTCAGAAGGTTTCACATAGTACAAGTTCCCTGGTTCTATCCCGGTCCTCCTTAACTCGAGTACGAATCCTCTACTTTCAGTAGTACGGGCCCATACTACCTTCCACATCTATTCGTACTTTCCTCAAGGTTTTCCTTGACTTTACCAAGTCCCTCCTACTGCTACTGCTCTCTGTACTAATCTCATCCTAGGCTTACCCTAGGGTAACTCTCTGACCTCCTCTCCGCCATCAGCTGCATAAGGAATTCCTGCCACCCTTATCTAACTAGCTTGCGAATACCATTACATATCACTAAGACCAGATAATTCTTCGAATGAGAGGTCCTACCCTACAACGGTTGGACTCAAACAAGAGCTGCACAATAGGGCTAGACCTAACCTTCTGAAATTATTTAGTCCTCGCAATATGTAACTTAGCGTATTTATTTACTAGTTAGCTAAAGAAAACTAGAACTTCTAAAAGTACAAAGCAAACAACATTCGAGCATTGAGTAACCATACCAAGCATATCCTATTCAAGACATTATTTTACTGACTAGTCAGTTCTAGCATGTAACTCAATAAGCACATATAGCAGGCGCATAAGGCATCTTCCTAGATCCTTAGACCTAATCAAGCATGCAGTTATCATATACAGACAATAGGCATATAAGGCATCATTACCAGATCCTTAGCCCTAATCCAGCATGCAGTTCTCATATACAGACAATAGGCATATATAAGACATCATTCCTAGATCCTTAGCCCTAATCTAGCATGCAGTTCTCATAAGCATATCATATGGTAACGTAACATGTATGGGTATCTTGGGGAAAACTTACTTGAGCTCGGCCGGTCGCACGCATCACACACCTTGTTCTTTCTCAAAACTTCTGCCAAAAATTTCATTTTTAATTAAATATCTTATAAAATTGTTTACTGAAAACATCATCGAATCACATCAAATCACATCAAATCATAAAACCATAGTCATATGTCTCAACCATATCATCAACATAGTAAAAATGTCAGAGTACAATCCCATGGATCTCAAAATGCGAAAATCATATGTGTGCGATGCGCTGCTACCGTGCCGGCTCCTTCCCCTTCGCTGAAGAGGTACCTGAAACAAAACTGAAAACTGTAAGCACGAAGCTTAGTGAGTTCCCCCATCATACCACATACCATAAAACATACATACTACCTATCCCTCAGTATCTTTCAACCGGTATCTAACTGTCATAATCGGAAGTTGGACTTCCCTTCGGTATCCTTCAACCGGTAGCCGGGAGCTAACCTCCCCTTCGGTATCTTTCAACAGGTAACCGGGGACTATTTCACCCCCTACCACTACCACATAATAACATAACACGAACATACTGCTAGGCATGCGTGGGTTCTGACGACCCCTTCGGTATCTGTCAACCGGTAACCGGGTCTAATTCCCCCTACTACCACTATCACATAACATCATATCATGCTAATCACATAAAACATATCAGGTAGTAGAAAACCTAGATAATTATCAAAAATACAATCATCTATCAACAAACTCCTACTAGTGGGTCGACATTATGGCCGTAGACCCACTCTTACTGGAAGGTAACTCACATTAATGTCGTAAAGTGTCTGAACTGTCCTTGCTGCCGGAATCAACCATCTCAGATCCTACACATAACAATCTTCCTTAATTACCATTTCCTGGTCAAATTAGGTCACAGTCAAAGTCAAGGTCAACACCTTGGTCAAAGTCAACTCTAGGTCAAAGTCAACATCCAGTTGACTCAACTCGCCGAGTTGGCCCCACAAATCGTCGATTTCCGTAATCATGAAAATGCCAAGACCTCGACCCTACTCGCCGAGCCTTACAAGGGCTTGCCGATTTCTATTTTAAACAAATTCGGGACCTTCTACAACTGACTCGCCGAGTTCATCTTCATCCGAGTTAAGGTGTTTAGTCCTTGACTCGCCGAGTTCATCCTTGAACTCGTCGAGTTCATCTTCATATGGTTGGGATATTGCCTTGAACTCGTCGAGTTCATCCTTGAACTTGTCGAGTACGTTGATCTTCAGGTCCATAATGAATCCAACTGGCTGAGTCTTCTTCCAACTCAACACACTACTCGATATCAGAAGGGGTTTTGGGGAAAAATACGACCTGACTCGCCGAGTCACATAAGTGACTCCCTGAGTCCCTCTATGTCCAAAACTATTCAGTCAATTTCAGACGGTTTTAATGCATCCAAAACATAGATCTGACCTCCTAGGGTCCATATTACACGTAAAGCTACGAACTTGACGTTCATGCATGGGGTTTTTTGCTCAAAAGGCTAAAAAATGAGGTTTATATGATGCATGGGACTCCCATGGCCTTAAAGTTGGCACCTTTATGCCATGGGAACCCTCAATGGTTCCAGATCTGAAGTCATACCCCTTTAGAACCACAAAATCCCGAAAATGGCTCTACTAAAACTTAGAAAAGGTAGAAACTTGTCCTAACTAGAGATCTAACAGATAAATGGTCAAGGTTGAAGCTTTTTATCTTAAATGAGCTGGAAATGAATCAAAATCTCTAGATCTACTTGCTTCTTTTGGAACCACCAAGCTTCCACTTCTTTCTTCAAGCTTCAAACAACCACAAACACACAAAAATGGCTCAGGAACACTCCAAATGATTTAGGGTTTCGAGTTAGGGATTTTCTGGGCTGTGAGAGACGATGGAGGCTGAAGTGGGACAAGATAATTTGTTTAAATAGGGTGCAAACCCTAAATATTAGGGTTTCATCCAGGCAGTCCTACTCGTCGAGTCGGGCTCCCGACTCGTTGAGTAGGTTACTTAAAACTCGCGTCCATAATCCAGTCTACTCTACGAGTTGGGCCTCCAACTCGTCGAATCACAGTGTAAAACATGCAATTACTTATATTTAAAATACATACCGGAACCGGGTGTTATAAAGTAAGTTATGTGTTGATGAGGGTGAGGATAACAACACTGTAGATGATGATGATCCACCCATGCATTCAAGTTTTAATGAGTTGATACACTGGAAAAAAACAAAAACCAATTCTTGGAATGACATTTATGGATCCAGCCCAAGGTAAATCAATGTTGTGTAACTATACATTGGCTAATGGATATCAATTTTTTTTGAAAAAAATGATAGGAAAAGACTTTTGGTTAGGTGCAGTAAGGGTGCTTGCACATTTAGTCTATGGGCTTCTTGGATGAGTGATGAATAGAGTTTCCAAATCAAGTCACTAAAAGTTGATCATAATTTTGCCAGGAACTTCAAGTTAGGTTCACTAGTGACATATGCATGGATTGGGAGTCATTATACTAGAGAAATTGTACAGAGTCGGAAATTGAGTGTAAGGAAGCTTAGGGTAAAGGTAATGATAAAATTTGGTATCCAAGTTATTATGGGCCAATGCAGGAGAACAAAGAAGTATGCACTAAAACTTATTGAAGGTAGTCTTGTTGAACATTATGGTAGGCTATGGTCATGAGATTCTGAGGACTAATCCAGGGCCAACTGTAAAATTAGATGTGGAGACTGGCCCAGATGGAAAGAAGTATTTCAACAAGTTCTATGTTTGTTTTCAAGGAGTCAAACAAGGTTGGATGGAAGGATGTAGAAGGATAACAGGTCTTGATGGTTGTTTTTTCAAAGGTGCTTGTAAGGGGGAATTGCTTTGTGCAGTTGGGAGGGATGCAAATTACAAGATATATCCTATTGCTTGGGCTGTGGTATGTGTGGAGAACAAGCAGAATTAGAAGTGGTTTTTGGAACTTCTCATTGAGGATCTACACTTGAATTTAGGAAATGGATTCAGTTTAATGTCAGACCAACATAAGGTTAGTTTATTACATTGTAATTTAAGTATACTTAATTTACACTATTTGATTTAAATCTTCTTCTTTTTACAGGGTTTGATAGATGTTGTTAAGGAGTTGTTGCCATATGTAGAGCACAGGCAGTGTGCTAGACATATTTTCCAAAATTTACAGAAGAGATTTAGTGGGGCCATATACCATACATTGTTTTGGAGAGCATCAAAAGCTACAATTGAGAATGCTTTTAAAGTTGTGATGAAGGAAATTGAGGCATTGAACCCAGATGCCCATCAATATCTCATGGACAATGAACCAAGAACCTGGTGTAGAGCTTTCTTTCAACTTAGAAGGTGTTGTGATGCAGTTGAAATGGATTCTCTGAAAGTTTTAATGTTGTGATAGTATATGCCAGGAAGAAGCCCATAATCACAATGTTTGAGGAAATAAGATTGTACATGATGGGCAGATTGTACAACATGAGGTTGAATGGACAACAATGGGGAAATCATATTTGTCCAGAGATAAGGGATAAGGTGAATTTGCTTAAGAAGGTCTAGAGGCATTATCAGGTACTGCCTAATGGATTAAACCAGTTTGAGGTTAGCGGAGCAGCAGATGCATATCAAGTGGACTTAGAAAGGAAAACATGATCCTGTAGGTTGTGGCAATTGAATGGATATGGATGTGCTCATTCTGTAGCAAGCATATCATATCTTAATAGGGATGTAGAAGCCTATGTGGACAACATGTATAACACAACAAGCTTTAGGAAGGCATACAATTACAGAATTGCCCCTATGAATGGGAGTAACATGTGGCCACATACCAACTATGATCCATCATTGCCTCCTATTAGTAGAAGGATGCCTGGTAGGCCAGCTACTAGTAGGAAGAAATCCACTACAGAGAATAAAGGAAAACACAAGGTTTCTATGGCAGGAAAGAAGACCAAATGCAGTATATGTAAGGAGATAGATCACAACAAGGCTACTTGTCCACAAAGAAGACCCAAGATGTAAATGAGAGGAAAAACAAGAAACAAAAACTTTGTCTAAGAAAAAAAGCAGGCCAGGTAAAACTATTTTCTATTTAAAGTTATTTACATGTGATTATCCACTTACATAATTATTTCCTCTAATGTAGGCTAGTACAAGTGAACCTGAACAACATGATGAGATTGAATTGACTCCAGTTCAGGTGGATACTAATCAAAATGATTTCCAGGCTACTCCTAATGATTCTGAATCTAATAGTTCAGGGGGTTATGGTCAGTATATGCAAGTGACTCCTCCTAGAAGTTATAAAGCTGAAGAATTTGTTGGTGAGGATGTTGAGGTTGAAAATGCTGAAGGTGGTCAGGGTCAAGCTAATGGTGTGGTTGAAGATGGTCAGGGTCAAGCTAATGGTGTGGTTGATGATGGTCAGGATCAAGCTAATGGTGTGGTTGAAGATGGTCAGGGTCAAGCTAATGGTGTGTTTGAAGATGGTCAGGGTATAGTTAATGTTCTGGTTGAGGAAGCCTTTAAGGTTCCTAATGTGCAAGTACAGCAGGTTAGACCAATTTCAGATATTTTGAAGAGTATAAGGAGAATAAAGTTAGAGAGAATATTGAAGATCAAATTAGAAAAGTCAGTTGGTGGTGTTCATGATCTAGGAAATTCCAAGGGAAAAGCTCTTATAATTGATTAGGGTAGGGTGTTATGGTTTGTGTATTTCACTTTGTGTTTGTGTAATATGGATTTAATGTAAGTCTATTAGGATGATGGTAATTTTGACTTTGTGTTTGTGTTTGGGTAATATAGTAATTTTTGGCAACTATGATAGTATGTTGCCATTTTAAGTTAATTGAAGAATGTTGTCTTTTAATGTGTTTAGCTATAAGAAAATTGATGACTGTTTATATATTCTACATGGAATAGTTTTGAATTATGTGCATGAATGTCAATGTGGTATATGGTAGCAGATATATTACTTTAATGGGTTGAAAGGTCCCATTTACCCAATTATAAAACATCGACTATGTATGCAAATGGTCCCGATACAATTGGTACTTTCATATGGACCACTGCAACCAATATACTTATATTAATATAGGAAAATGAAATCATACATGCATGTTTCCTTTGAATAACATAAAAATTCCATTAACATGAACAATTCCATTCCACTATCCACATGAACATTTCCATTCCATTTATATGTCGTTGGGACTTTACATTAAGGATAATTACCAATTGTCAAAGGGATTTTACAAAAGATACAAGATGCAACACATTACCACTTTAGGCTGACTTTACAAAAGATACAAAAAACCTTCACATCCCAATACATACACCTTACACTAACAGCTAAACCAAAAGCTTCACATCCCAACATTAATTAGCTAACTTAAAAACAAAACAAACATACCCAACAACTAGAACAACTACCAACAGCTTGTACATACGTATGCTCTTCTTGGAATCACACATCCCTTTCTCCATGGTTGCCACTAGACTCTTCTCCTTACTCAGGAGAAACTCCAACTCAGTATTCCTAGTCATCAAGTTTTTTATGACACCAAGATCCTCTTTGGAATCCAACTGCTGCATCATGGAATAGATGAGGTTTTTGTAGTAACCATCTTCCAGTGCGACATCTTTCCATTCATAGTAATCACATTTCCTCGGTCTTTTCTGTATCAAACTCACATGAATACAACATCAAAACGTAATCACTAATCAACAAATGCAATTTAAGAAACCACGAAATAAAAAATGATTAACACTACAACACCATTTAAACAATCGCGATCGTACATGTACTTTCAGACACGAAATAACGACAACAAACCAAGATAATCAAAATTATTTTTAGGGTTTTTTTCGTAATGTAATGGGTTTTTGATAGTGAAACCCTAAAAAATCTTGAATTAACAAATCAAGCTAGATCGAAGCTTACCAAGCTGTTGTTGCAGTACCAAAAACGCCTGTCGGGGTTAGTGAGCTTCCGACATGTTCGCTCCTTAGCTGGAACATCGCTGTCACAGTTGTTAACATCGTCTTTAACAAACACACGAGCAACTTGGAGGCGATTTCTTGCATTGGATGAGCTCGTGGACACTGTGTTTAAGAATCAAACAATCTGATTATGTAAAGGAGGGTGCTTGCTTCTACTTTTCACGAACGGGTAAGAAAGAAATGAATGAGGTCCAAATCGGGGTTTTAATTAATAACGTAATTGGGAAGATAACACGTCAGGTGCCACGTTGGAAGTCCAGGTAAGGGGTTTTTGACACATCACTTAGCCACGTAAGAAGGAAACCGGGAAACCATTTAAAATCAGGGAAAATGACTTAATTGACAGGTAAAACCCGAATTTAGTGACTTAATTGACCAAAAAAAACTTTAGTGACCAAATTGGCCAAATGGCAAAAGTTTGATGTGCTACAGTGTCATTTTTCCTATATTTTTTGGTGTGAAAATAACCGTTTCCCCAATGTTCATCAACCAGCTGTTGTTTGCACCGGATCATTTTAGGACATGGTATTAAACAAATTTGTAGAGAAGTAGGATAACTCTGACAGGATCAGGCCCAAGAACCTGATGCATCGATGGTTGCATGTGGACCAGAAGGATCAGACCTGGCGAGGTAGGCATGCGGTTTCATAACAAGATGCTGTAAAAAAAACATGAATGATAAAATGTGATCCATGCTCCTACAACCGATGAGGGGCGTCGAGCAGCCCATCAACTTGTTGTTGCCACGACGACATCTATTGTTGTCGTAGTTTTTATCTGTTGCTTGGTGGCAGAACATAGATCCGGTCATAAGGCTAATTCGCACGGGGGAGAGGGGGGGGGGGGGAGGGAATTAGCGGCGACATTGTTTTTTTTATTTGTGGTCGTTGCGACGGTCTTTTCCCCGGTTTGGATTGTTATTTCCAGCATGAAGAATCGTGGGCGAGGAGGAATTTTCCATGTAACTTCCTAAAGCCGATGAGCAAGGATGAGACATATCTTGATCTTCCATGATGAACATTAATTGAGTCTCCAAGAAGATGGGGAGAGGAGATCCATATCATGTGATGTTTTCCACCGAATCAAATTTGTTTGATAATCCATTGATTGTGTAGATAAGTAAATGTTTCTCCGGTATAGTAGATTTTGGGTCAAGATTTGCGAGGAGTTCCTCCAAAGCTTTGATTTTGGTGTAGTGGATGGTAACAAAGAGGTCACCCATGATAATATTTTGGAGATCACTATCTGCATATTTTTTGTGTCTTTTGTTATCTAGACATAGCTCTTCTTTTGCTTTCCTGTTTCTTCTTTTCAACGGAAATAACGTTTGTTTTGCTTTTTATAATGTCAAAGATATACTTGGTCAATAAACTTTTAAAGATAATGTTAAACCGTTTATTTTATAAGTTTATATACAAATAATTAATCCGATTAACATCTAAAAAATCCACTTTCAAAGTTGAGTTTTTATTTTAAAAAATCAAGTTATTTATTTAATTACAAACATATATTTTATTTCTAATTTTAATATTAGTTTTAAAAATAAAATTTAGTTAAACACCATATAAAAGCTATGTATAGTTTCCTTCACCCATCTATGGCAATAAAAATCATTGTTATCTTGTTATCTTTTTTAGTATATAATAATTCCTCATATATGATATTAATTAAGATAAAATCACATGTAGCACCGTCCATCTTTTGCGCTTTTTGGACACAAACTTTGACCTTATTCTTCATGGGTCCAGTCTTGTCTTCTTGTTTTTTTTTTCTTTTTTTTTTTTTTAAGTTGGCTATAGGCAGACCGGCACGTGCCGGTTGATTCCACCCCGACAGAGTTTGGGATCACAATTTTGATAAGGTTATCTTCCTCTCAATTCCCATTGGTATAACGTATACCCATCCACGTGTCTCGGTGTCTGTATCCATCCAGATCCTCTTACATTGGTTTTATGTCCACATCAACATTATTTTCTTGGGAGTTTTTAAAAGATATATAGATTAGAAGTATCCATCCAGATCCTCAATCAGTTGTAACTTATTTAAAAAGTAATAAAATAATATAAATAAAATTAGTTGTTGTTATAAATAAATTGATAGAAAAAACTGTTGTTATAAATAAACTGATATAAAAAACCTTCTTACTGTGGAGATCTCTTGAATGTGCTTAGGTATCATGAAATGGTTGTGAGTTAAAATCTGTTATTGTCAAAAAAGGTGCACCATATGAGCATTATGATGGGTTTGAAGTAAGACATATTGTCGATATTACGTTATATTATAGATATTTATATATTATGATAATTGAGTTATAAGGGAATATAATTATATAATTACGAAATCATATATATATATATATATATATATATATATATATATATAGCGGTGTTGATCG